GCTCAGAGCCTGGAGCCTGTTTCAGTCTGTGACTCTCTCTCTCTCTGACCCTCCCCTGCTCACGCTGTCTCTCTCTCCCAGAAATAAATTAAAAACATTAAAAAAATAAAATAAAATAAAACAACCAGGCAAGGGTTTAGCACTGCAAGAAGGTGAGAAACACAGAAAGAGAACACTCCACAAAAGATTAGCTATACTCATCTGTTCTCTGTTTTTGAAACAGTTCTATCTGACTGCTTATGCTCTTTGAGATCATTAACCACTGGACTATTGTTGCATATAGAAGATACTTCTGAGATGTAAGAATTTTCCAAATAGTTTACATTTTCCTTCACATTTACATATCATTCACATATGGTCTATTACCAAAAAAAGAAAAATCACCACTTCCTTTTGAAATCCAGAACACTGACAAGTGGACTAACATTTACCAAGTACTCAATGCATACAACCCACTGTGCTGAGCATATTGACACGAACTGTATCTTTGGAGTCCTCACAAGAATTTTATAAAGTAGACACTGTGTGCTTTCCCTTTGCAGGAAGGGAAACAGACTGAAACAAAAAGTAACTCACCCAAAGCTGGAATGGTGGAGCTCCAGTGGAAAGCAAGCAGCGTGAAGCCAGAGCCCCTGCTCAGACCATTAGGCAATGTTGCCTCCATTTTGAACAAAAAACCAAAAAAACAAAAAAACCCTCAAGACTACAAAAAGACTTGATAGCTAACACGAACATTCATTTTCCATAAATGAGATTCACGTATTGAAAACCCATGACTATAGCACTTGGTTCCCAGGATCTAAAACCAGAGGTCCCGCTTGGAACTACTCCTAGAAGGTTTTTAACATGGTACCCTTGCATTCTGAAAGGTAACCTGATATTTGATTTCTATTTGCAGAGAGTGTTAAGTGATACAGAAATGCAGGGAGCAATGTACAAAATCAGATAGACTCTGGGGGTCACAGTGTGTCATTTGGAAGTGACCCCTGAGAACCGGAAGATCTAGCTGTTTCAGTTCTTCTGTCGACTCAACACTGGCGTATGAGCTTGGAGCTTTTATAATGAGATTATTCACACCTGTTCTCAAACTTGAGTGTGAGCAGAATCACCTGGAGGGCTGGTTAAAACACAGACTGCTGGGTCCCACACCCAGACCTTCTCATTGTAGCTCTGAGAACCTGTAGTTCTAAGGAGTGCCCAGGTGATGGTAATAATGCTGGTCTAGGACCAGTTTTTGACACACCCAGAAGTCTTCCTTCTTCAAGCATGTGGTGCCTCTACTACTCCTCTCTTTTCCCCATCTAACTTTTCTGATATATTGCTTTTCCTTCATAACAACAGAAAGCTTGTCCATCACTAGAATAAACATGTGGGGTTAGGAAGTGATTACGGTGAAAAATAGAGCAGGACCATGCTTCTGCAATAAACTGTCTTGAAGTCACACTTAAATCCCTAGTTTTTTCTCCTCATATTGAACAAGCACTCTCGTGCATTCTATTTTGCCCAAGGTCAATACTGAGGAACTTCATGAAAATGGAGTTTGGAGTTTGGAGTCAGGCAGCCTGGTTTTCCATGCAAACCTTAAAACTCGTGTTGTTTCTCCATGTGATTCTCATAACGTGTCAGAGAAATCAAGAGCCTATGTCCAGTTCTGGTTTAGCCTTGGGCTGCCAGCCTCCCTTCTGGCCTCAGGGATTTTTTTCCTTCTAAAACGAGGAGCGTAGCCTCTAAGATTCCTCTTCTTCAGCTCCCACTTTCTAAAGAGCTGAGGAGCAGTGGAAGCAAATGCCTGAATGACAATGAATTCTGGTTAGGTAGCACTCGCATTGCACATAACCACTGGGAAAGAAACACACAGCCCCGGCAGAATAATGTTGGGAAAGAGTAGTGAAGGGAAGATGGGAAGAGAAGGTAGAGAGCCATTTGGCACTGGGGCTGGGTCCGAAAAGATGGGAACAAGTGAGTCAGCACATTCGCAGTGATTCGTTCTGTTTACCCTACTTCCCTCCAGTGCATACACAGATCCGTGACACATGGGAGGGTTTTTTAAGACCACGTTATTTATAATGATTTCTCATTTATGCTTGGTAAAGAGTGGAGAGAGGCAAAGGATGCTTGGGCATTTTTACAAGAAGAAAAGCTGCTGTGAATTACATGGTGTATTGCTCATTAAAGGAAAATCCACTCCCTGTGTAGCAGCAAAACATATGCCAACCAGAAATATTATTAAGCCAAATTTGCTCCCATTTAGGTAAAAAGATGAAACTGTCAAAAGTCTACAGTGCTATCATTTCAGAGTTAACACCTGTCACAGAGAAAGGGAAAGTATCTTAGATACATAATCTGTCTTAGAGTCAAGGTCAGAAGCGAGCAGGTCCTTCTTATTTTATTCATTTTTCCACAGGTACGAAAAGATTACATCTAGCAGATGGAGGCTTTTAGCATAAAATAAGCTCCTGTGGCTGCATTTACTTGCAACAACAAGAAATATATGGCTGCAGATGGCCATCTGTTTCTTAATTTTAAGGTTGAGGGCAAAGAAAGTTTTTCAACTTTAGTTTTGGGATTTATTAAATAATCATTATTATTTTTAAACACAGACATCATTAACAACTCCCACCCTGTGCTGTTTGTCATCTAAGATCTTGCATATGGTGTGAGGGTTTTTGCCCGAAATGAACATACAGGGTAACAAACATGCATATCTCAATAACCCTTTTAGAAAAAAAGTGAGCATGTTTGCAAATTAGCACCTGAGCAGCCATTCCTGCTGAGAGCTGAGTTGGCACTGGTGCATTCTTCTTTGTTCTGAGTGATTTATTCACACAGGAATGGGGTTGTTTCTGAAATTATTGGACAGGAAAAGCTGATGGGATTTACTGTCTTTATCCTGAGACTCCCAAATAAGACCAAGGTGATCAAGAATAGAAAGGCCGGACACCAACAAGAGATGTGCACCTTGCACCGATTGAGAACTTCTACGTGGAGGCCCTGCAGAAATTAAGGGGCCCAGATGTTTGAACCTGGCTCAAAGAAGCAGACCGGGCTGCTGTGGGGACGGTGCCTGGAATGTGTTCCGGTAGAAGGAATAGCAGAGGAAAGGTGCAGAGCTTGGGAGATGCTGAAGGGCTGAAGTGCCAACTAAAGGGATAACATGTGATGTAACTCAGAGCAGAAGAGTGCCAGCCAGCCTAACCCCCAGGGGTGAAAAAAGCCCAATTCTATAGGCCCTGCCCTTGATTTCTTGTGCCAGTTTATCACAGTGGCTGAAGAAGCTCAGAGATCCTTCAGCCAATCATATCTTCCAAGGGATACATCAAAGTAGAAAACCTGGGGATCACCTGGGTAGCTCAGTCAATTACACACCCAATTCCAGCTCAGGCCATGATCTCCCCATTCATGGGTTCAAGCTGCGCATCCGGCTCTGTATTGACAGCTCAGAGCCTGGTGCCTGTTTCAGATTTGTGTCTCCTTCTCTCTCTACCCCTCCCCAACTCACACTCTGGCTCTCTCTCTCTCAAAAATAAATAAATATAAAAAAACTTTAAGTAGAAAACCTGGTATTGCAAAACAGAACAAACATAAGTGTTGTGAAAATATCTGTGCCATGACCCTTAGGATCATCAAGCAAAATAATACAATTTATCTAGTTTTAGATGCTGTCGGGGGTTTTCTAAATGCCAATTATTGAAGTCAGGTGATGAAGCTTTCCCAGAAAATCTGCATAAAGACTGAGAGCAGGGATTCCCACAATAGATTCGGGGCTTCCTTCCTGCAACAGAGAATGGCAAGTCAGACATAGTCTCCCAACACTTGGGAATCATCAGTCACTTGTGATTTGAAGAGAAAGGGCTTAGGACACAGGCAATGCTGATACATTAAAATAGATTTGTCTTCTTTCTCTGAGGTAGATCTGCCAATCAGTAACCTAACATTAAGAAACTAAAGTATCCAGATAGCAGGATTTTGCCTCCTAAACCAAATTAACAGATGCAAAAAGACAAAATCTTGTGTTTTTCAGAAGTAGGATCCATCCGCAGTTGATGTATGATGGACACATCTTAAAATATTGTCATCTCTTTAGACACAATATTAGGGCAAAGCATTTAAGCAAACTGTCCTGGAAAATAAAGATTTGAACTTACTACTGACTCAGAGGAAAGTCATTATAGGCTTTTGCAGCTAAAAGTAGTACCAGCAGACCCGCTTGGGAACTACTAGGAGGCTCACTACTTCTCCCTGCTAACCCATGCCACTGTGGGCCAGCTCTGCTCACTGCAGCTTTCTTCTTACATCAGGCCAGAACACCTGTCCCCCTGAACCTTCAGAGAAACAAGCCTGCCTTGCTAGAAGTCTAAGTAAACTTACAGCTCCATAGATCAATAATTTTCACTGGCCAATTCTTTGTATCAACATTTATAACATGATTATGTCTACACTGAACTTCTTCCATAAAATAATTACTTATGTTTGCTTTAAAACCACTCTTTGCAAAGCATCAATGGGCCTTTAACTCCTTAAAACAGAAATATCCATTTGGTAATGGAATTTCATTGATTCTTAGCATCTGGGGGTCTTCTGGGAAGCGATACTTTGAGGTTCTAGAACTGTGCTGTTCCATACAGTAGCTGCTAGTTAGGCTTAGCTATTTTAATTTACATTAATTAAAATAGAATAAAATTAAATATTCAGTTCTTTAGTAGCAAATGCCATATTTCAAATCCCCAGAGCCATGGCTAGTGGCTACCATATTAAACACCATAACATAGAACATTTCCATTATTTCAAAATTTCTTCTGGGGATGCCTAGTGGCTCTGTTGGTTAAGTGTCTGACTCTGGGTTTCAGCTCAGGTCATGATCTCACAGTTTCATGGGTATAAAATTCCTAACAAAGTCTAAAAATAAAATGTGAGGAAGGGGAAGCTAAGATGTTTAAGGTCTTCTGAGAACAGATTACCAAAGTGATCAAGATCCCAGGCTTAAGCAACCTTCTTGGGGCGCCTGGGTGGCTCAGCTGGTTGAGCGTCTGACTATAGCTCAGATCATGATCTCATGGTTCGTGGGTTTGAGCCCCACATCAGGCTCTGTGCCGACAGCTCAGAGCCTGGAGGCTGCTTCAGATTCCCTGTATCCCTCTCTCTCTGCCCCTCCCCCACTCATGCTGTTTCTCTCTGTATCAATAATAATAAACATTAAACATTTTTTTAACAAAGTTTCTTCTTGTGTATGGTATGAGAAAATGATCTAGTTTCATTCTTCTGCATGTTGCTGTCCAGTTCTCCCAGCACCATCTGTTAAAGAGGCTGTCTTTTTTCCATTGGATACTCTTTCCTGATTTGTCAAAGATTAGTTGGCTGTACACTTTTGGGTGCAAATCTGAGTTCTCTATTCCATTGGTCTATGTGTCTGTTTTTGTGCCAATACTATACTGTCTTGATGATGACAGCTTTGTAGTAGAGGCTAAAGTCTGGGATGGTGATGCCTCCTGTTTTGGTTTTCTTCTTCAATATTACTTTGGCTAGTCAGGGTCTTTTGTGGTTCCATAAAAATTTTAGGATAGTTTGTTCTAGTTTTGAGAAGAATGCTGGTGCAATTTTGATTGGGATTGCATTGAATGTGTAGATTGCTTTGGGTAGTAATGACATTTTAATAATTTTATTGTTCTGACCCATGAGCATGGAATATTTTTCCATTTCTTTGTGTCTTCTTCAATTTCCTTCATAAGTTTTCATCATACAGATCTCTTATATCCAAAATCCACCAAACTCCACACCTGAAAAACAAACAATCCAGTGAAGAAATGGGCAGAAGACATGAACAGACACTTCTCCAAAGAGGACATCCAGATGGCCAACAGACACATGAAATGATGCTCAACATCCCTCCTCATCAGGGAAATACAAATCAAAAACACCCTGAGATACCACCTCATGCCAGTCAGAGTGGCTAAAATGAGCAAATCAGAGGACTCTAGATGCTGGCGAGGATGTGGAGAAACGGGCACCCTCCTACACTGTTGGTGGGAATGTAAACGGGAGCATCCCCTCTGGAAAACAGTGTGGAGGTTCCTCAAAAAATTAACAATGGAACTCCCCTGTGACCCAGCAATAGCACTGCTAGGAATTTACCCAAGGGATACAGGAGTGCTGATGCATAGGGGCACATGTATCCCAATGTTCATAGTAGCACTCTCAACAATAGCCAAAACATGGAAAGAGCCATGTCCATCAACAGACAAATGGATCAAGAAGATGTGGTTTATCTATACGATGGAATACCACATGGTAATGAGAAAGAATGAAATCTGGCCATGTGTAGCAACATGGATGGACCTTGAGGGTGTTATGCTGAGCGAAATAAGTCAGGCAGAGAAGGACAAATATCATATGTTTGCACATATAGGAGGATTAGGAGGAACTTAACAGAGGACCATGGGTGATAAGAGGGGGAAAAATAGTGGGGAAGAGGGAGGAAGGCAAACCATGAGAGACTCTTGAATGCCAAGAACAAACAGAGGGCAGATGGGGTGGGGGGTAGGGGAAGGGAGATGGTAAGCATGGAGGAGGGTACTTGTGGGGGTGAGCACTGGGTGTTATATGGAAACCAACTTGACAATAAACTATTAAAAAGTTTCTTCTTTAAAAAAAAAGGAACTTCTTACCAGCTAGCTGTGTAATATTAGCATGTCAGCTCCTCTCTAATACTTGGCTTCCTCACTGTCCTTGGCCTATCCACATCCTCTCCCTATTTCCTTCTTCTCTAGAGTAACAGAACCCAATATATTTCAGTAGTTAACCGAGATCCCTTAGTTTCAGAAGGATGGATCCCACTGCACATCTAGAATCTAGAAGGCACAGTTTTGTAATAATAGGATGTTAGGAAACTCTGCTGAGGAGGAATTTCTTTTCCAAATAAAAGGTAACACCTCATAAGGAGCAGAACTTTGGCTCTTCCATCTCTTTCTTGCCTGCTGTGTAGACATGAAGCCTGGAGTTACAGCAGCCAGCCTGTATCCATGAGGTGTCAGACATGAGGATAAAAGCCATCATGGGGGCGCCTGGGTGGCTCAGTCAGTTGGGCGTCCTACTTCGGCTCAGGTCATGATCTCATGATTCGTGGGTTGGAGCCCCACGTCAGGCTCTGTGCTGACAGCCAGCTCATAGCATGGAGCATGTTTCAGATTCTGTGTCTCCCTCTCTCTCTGACCCTCCCCTGCTCACACTGTCTCCCTCTCTCTCTCTCTCAGGAAAAAAAAAAAAGCCAGCATGGTAAGGGTGGAGAACAGAGGCTTGAGAAAACTTGAACTCTGAATGGCATCATTGAATAGCCACATAATTCTTTACTGTTTTAGGTGAGAAAAATGCACCCCTATGTTTAAGCTTCCAGCAGTTTTATTTACTGTTACCTAGATCCAAAAGCACTCCAAACTGATATTTCATCTTCTATCAGTCAGTATTAAGTTTGGCTGTTTTGGCCAAAACCCCCAAATAATGGAAGCTTAATTAAGGATAGAGTTTATCTCTCAGGTAAAAGAGGTCTGAGGTAGACAGTCAAAAGAAGGTTCACCTCCGTGGTTACCAGGTCCTCTCGGGGCTTCTCTCTTTCCACTCCACCATCCCACCATCCTAGCATTTTGCTTCTATCTTGAAACTTAACCCATGTTCCAAGATGGCTACTGGATTGCCAGCCATCACAAAGGGATTCCAGGCAACAGGAAAAAGGAAAAGTGAAAGACAAATGGGGACTTCTTCCACCTGAGTTAGCTCCCTTTGTGCAGCCAGTCTTAGAGGTTCCACACAGCACTCTCTCTTACTGCTCACCTTAGAAGAGTCACATGATTCTGGTTGTAAAGCACCCTGGAATGCAGTCTTTCCGCTGAGAGTCATTACCAGCCCAGTAAGATCAGAGCTCTGCTGTAATGCTCTAGGAGTAAAAAGAAGAAAGTGATTCTCAGGTGACAAATGCTATAAGATAAAATGATCTAAATACAAGTAAAATGTTTGGCACAGTGCCTGATATATAGCAAACCCTGACTAAAGATGAGAGTAGAGTAGGAAGGGAATAAATTGCCTTATCTTCACTTTTGAGTTGTTATATAATTGGTTGGTCTTTGTTGCATTAATACAGTGTTCCTCAGACCTTAGTCATTTGTATATATTCCTTGTGATTTTCTCATATTGGTATGTTGTTATTTAATATTTTCTTGAAATCAACTTTTTAACTTAACTTTCAGTATGCTATTCCCATAAATAGGAAATCAATATTCCACTAATAAAATAAAAATTATAACTATTATAATTAAAATATTCATTTTGGATATGACCTAAAACCATCTCATGGGCCACATTTTAGAAAACATTTCTCTGTTGAATGCTCTGGGAAAAATGACTTTTGTGATTGATTACCTCAAGTTGGCTTTGGTCATTAATCAGTTTCTGCTGCCATTTATTTGCTTCATCTAACACTGTACAATGGAGATTATTCTTTAAATATCTTTAATAATTAGCAAAACTGGCATGTTCTTTAGGTTCAACCAACCTGTAATGAGAATTGATAGCAAGAAGAACATGGTTATGGGACTTTACAGAAAGCTGACACATTCCACAGCTTTTTATTTTCTTTTTCAAAATCCAGACAAAATTGTATTGAGAACTAATTATTAAACACATTGTCATCTTCAACTATGTCTTACATTTCTTTTCTTTTCTTTTTAGTCTCTGACTTATCTGTATTTAACTTTCCCCACCAAACTCCTTGACATGACATATAGTGTCCTCCAGGATGACTCTGTGGGCCTCTGCACACCCTAAAGTTTTATTCCCCATGATCAGAAAAGTTCTGGGACTTTCAAATTGTTGTTGGTATCATGGTTAACCCAGATGTAAATGGGCAACTCTGCCTCCTGTCCCATTTAACTGCTAAGCCTGTCTCGAGGATAAAATAAGACCGTATTGTAAAAGTTGTTGGCAAGGTGAGAAGTACTATACAACAAAAGATGGTACCGTCTAAGTTGGCTTCCTTCATACTGGATCCTGAGGATGGACTCCACACCTAAAGGACTTGGCTCACCACTGTTTATATGCTGTGTGACCTTGGGGAAGTATGGTGCCTCTCTGCGTCTCAATTTCTTCCTCTGTAAAATAAGAATAGCACACAATACTACACAGGGTAATGTGAAGATTCAGTGGGTTAATACAGGTAAAACAGTTAGAACAGTGCCTGGCACATACTAAGCTCTCAAAACATTAGTTTTTATTCAGGCAAAGGTGGTTTCAAATCACAGCCCCACAACTCACTAGTGGTAAGTAAATAGGTCACCTTGCTCTCCCACGTGCCACGGAAATGTTGTCTCTTTATCCATCTCCCTAACAGACCTGCTCTTTCACACAATATAGAGCATAGGACCAGGGTAGTAGGAAGCAAGTAGACAAAGAATAAACTCTCTATATCCTCTACTCCAGCAAGCCTATACAGATGCAGTACTTTAAAATTCCTTAGGTAAGTTTCATTCACTTTAAATATAATAAATGTTCTGCCATAGATTTCCACTGCCTCCCAAGATGTTGACCAGGAATAAAGGAGGTGGACTTATGTAAACTTGGAGAAGTGACTGCCTCCTAATTTGCATGACTGAGGCACCTTGCCACCATCACTCTAGCTCCAGTCCTGGAGCAAGAGTACCCCCTGGTCTCATGCTGACTTTGGATATTAGCCAGCCACTTGGAAACATCACAATTGTTACCAGTTCTGTCCCTTGAGTGTTCTGTTACTGCTGAAATCAATGCCTGAACCATCCATGTCTGGTCTCCATCGATGATGACCTAGAGAGATTCTCACCCCAGCTCTTGCTATAGTTGCTGAGTCCTAGTCACATCCTCCATCTAGATCCCAGAAGTAGGCAATCCACCTGCATCCTCCATCATCCAGGCTAACAGCCTTCAGACCACTGACTACTGGACATAGTCTTGGGAGCATGCAGAAATGCTGAGAGTCCCTCCATACCACAAGGACACTGAAGGTGATTTAGAAAGCTAAACATTGGCCTTCTCTCTGCCTAACCATGCTGGGCTATCCCTTGTTATGG